AGAAAGGACTCCACATGCAATCGTCCCCGGCACAGAACGGATTCTACATGCAGTCGTCCTTGGCACAGAAAGGACTCCACATGCAATCGTCCCCGGCACAGAACGGATTCCACATTCAGTCGTCCCTGGCACAGAAAGAATTCCAGATACAATCGTCCCCGGCACAGAAAGGACTCCACATGCAATCGTCCCCGGCACAGAACGGATTCTACATGCAATCGTCCCTGGCACAGAAAAGATTCCAGATACAATCGTGCCCGGCACAGAAAGGACTCTGGATGCAGATGTCCCCGGCAGCTCCCTTTTGGAGTGGATGCAATAAGCACCTGGGAGAAGGGGCGTCCTTGCCACCTTGAGATGTAGCAGACGTCTGCCCGCTATAATCACACGGGCCAAGCTGACTGGGGATGATGGAAGCTGGAATTATTCCGTAAGGCACCCTGGCTGCAAGCAGACACCTGGAAGAAAGGGAGTGACTGCCACAAAGGTTGTGTAGGTGCTATTGTTTGGGGTTGCAGGACACATGCCTCTGAACGGTGGACGGAATGGATTTGAGAGTTTTTCAAACTTAGCAATTTTTAAGACCTGTGTAGGCTTCAACTTCCAGAATTCCCCAGCCAGCATGTCAAGTGAACTCAAAACTGTTTACATACCCATTTGAATTGACTGCAATTTAAGTTTGTTTTAAGAGGCGCCATGGATCTAAGTGGGAAAATATACACACAGACCCTGCAGCCTAGTTTTGACATTCATCTACCTTGGAGCAGTATCTCCCATCTCTGCTTCCCTCTTTAAGCACCCACCTTTAAAAGCACAGGAAATCTGCCCAGTGGTGGGATTCAGCCAGTTCGCACCACTTCAGCAGAACTGGTAGTTAATTTTTTGTTGGCCAGGCCCAGAATGGACTTCCGGAAGCGGCATCCACACAGAGAACCAGTTGTTCACATATTTGAATCCCACCCTGAAGCTGCCTCTTTTATAACACTTAATCTCAAAATTGCACATACAGACCAAAATTCAAAAATAATATTTTAGCAACACAACCCCTTGGGCCAGGGTTGAGAGAAATATGTTTTTAAGTTTTATAACCTCAAAGATCCAACAGTTGTCAGTGAATTATAATATAATTTTGGACTTGTGCTGGAGCCCATCTTCAGGGAACTTCTCTCTAGCAGTGTGTGTGCTGTTCTGTGTGTGGTATAATGCCTGTTGTATGTGGCTTTTTAGATGTAGATTGGGGTGTGTTGATGGCTGGCTTTTAAGTTGTTTAGCTTGTACTGCCCAGCCCTCACCTTCTAAGTACTTGATAGGCTTGTGGTAAATCAGCACTCCTGTTTACACGCCCCCAATATTACAAACCACAGTGGGATAACTATTAATCTATGGCAGGAGTCCCCATCCCTCTCCCCTCCCCACCATTGCTGTCAGTCCGTGGAGCCAGAAAAGTTGGGGACTATTAATCTATGGCAGGGGTGTCAAACTGCCAGCCCGTGGGCCAGACTTGTCACGCGGAAGCCACGCCCACCCCATTGCTGGCAATGGCAAAACCGTCCCGTCGCGAGTTTGACACGTCTGATCTATGGTATTCAAAAATCAAGTCTGATAGTACCTTTTCAGACTAAGAAATTTTTCGAAAAGGATGAAAACTTCTGCCCTTTAATAAAATGTGTTAGTCTGAAAAAGTGCTACCAGACTACTACTATTTGCAAATTATCTGAATTCTTGCAGAATAGTTCTTTTCTATCTTCTTCCCTTTTTAAATTGACTCCTCATGTAATAAGGGTACAAAAAAAGACTGCTACAATAATGATAATAATAAGTTGGAAGGTCATCTAGTCCAACCCCCTGCTCAGGCAGGAGACCCTATCATTTTAGACAAGTGGCTGTCCAGTCTCTTCTGAAAAACTTCCAATAATAATAATAATAATAATAATAATAATAATAATAATAATAATAATAATAATAATAATAATAATAATAATGAGGAGGAAACCAGATGCACTTAACAACCATTGTTACTAACTTAACCACTGCAGATACACTTAACAACGATGGCAGGAAAAATCATAAAACGAGGGCAAAACTCAATTAACAAATGTTTCGCTTAGCAACAAAAATTTTGGGGACAATTGTGGTCGAACACTACCTGCATCAACAAAGTCAGGGACTTCCTGTATCTGAGAACAGGAAGTTACTGAGAACATTTATTTTATTCTCAGAGAGACCAGGACAGCATTCCTTGACTTGAGACCAAGACTATATAATAATAATAATAATAATAATAATAATAATAATAATAATAATAATAATAATAATAATAATAATAATAATAATAATAATAATAATAATAATAATAATAATAATAATAATAATAATAATAAAGTTGGAAGGGACCTTGGGGGTCATCTAGTCCAACCCCCTGCTCAGACAGGAAACCCTATACCATTTCAGACAAATGGCTGTCCAGTCTCTTCTTAAAAACTTCCAGTGTTGGAGCATTCACAGCTTCTGGAGGCAGGTTGTTCCACTGGTTAATTGTTCTAACTGTCAGGAAGTTTCTCCTTAGTTCTAGGTTGCTTCTCTCTTTGGTTATTTTCCACCCATTGCTTCTTCTCCTGCCTTCAGGTGCTTTGGAGAATAGCTTGACTCCCTCTTCTTTGGGGCAGCCCCTGAGATACTGGAAGACTGCTATCATGTCCCCCCTCGTCCTTCTCTTCATTAAACTAGACATACCCAATTCCAGCAACCGTTCCTTATATGTTTTAGCCTCCAGTCCCCTAATCATCTTTGTTGCTCTTCTCTGTACTCTTTCTAGAGTCTCAGCATCTTTTTTGCATCGCGGTGACCAAAACTGGATGCAGTATTCCAAGTGTGGCCTTACCAGGGCATTGTAAAGTGCTATTAACGCTTCATGTGATCTTGATTCTATCCCTCTGTTAATGCAGCCTAGCACTGTTGGCTTTTTTGGCAGCTGCAACACACGGCTGGCTCATATTTACAGTATGTGACTGTCCATTAGGACGGCTTTTCAACCTTTTCACCCATTGTACCACTTTTAGGATATGGCAATATCCGAGTACCACCAGCCGCCTAGCAAGATGTCAAAACCTTGATGACCCCCCAAAAAAAAAAAGGAAAAAAGTGATAAAGTACAGGTAGTCCTCGACTTACAACAGTTCGCTTAGTGACTGTCCGAAGTTACAATGGCACTGAAAAAAGTGCCCCCAAGCCACAGCCAAGCAAGACACCTGCCTGCCCACCTGGTGGTGCTCTTCCTCCTGTCCGAGGTTTTCATTGTTGTGAGCATTTCTGTTGAGGATTGGCAGCGGAGGTGGGGTGGGGAGGTGTTTTTATTCCCCCCGTCTGCTGGGTGGTTGCAGAAGATTTTGGTCACTTCACATGACCCTGGGACACTCTGACAGTCATAAATATGAATCAGTTGCCAAGCATCTGAATGTAAATCACAAGTCCCTGGAGATGCTGCAACATTCCAGCTGATCGGTGCTTCTTCTGGGCTCAGCAGAAACTCCAGGATCAGCGCCGAGCTCCAGCTGGAGCCTGGCGCTGATCCTGGAGCTTCCGCTGAGCCCTGACAGCCCTGCAGCTCCAGCCATCTCTTGCTCAGGCTTGTGCAGTGCTGCCACCGGTTCAGCTCATTCCCCTCCCCCGCTACTTTTCTAAGATGGTCACGTACCACCTGCCAGGTGCCAATGTACCACAGGTGGTACCCGTACCACTGGTTGAAAAGCCCTGCATTAGGACTCTGAGATCCCTCTCATAGTTACTACTATTGAGCAAGGTACCACCTATACCATACCTGTGCATTTGGTTTTTCTTACCTAAATGTAGAACCTTGCTTTTTTCACCACTGAATTTCATTTTGTTAGATAGCGCCCAATGTTCAAGTCTGTCCAGGTCCTCCTGTATCTTAAGCCTGTCTTCTGGAGTGTTGGCTATTCCTGCCAGCTTGGTGTCATCTGCAAATTTGATGAGTTCCCCATCTATCCCCTCATTCAAATAATTGATGAAGATGTTGAAGAGCACTAGGCCTAGAACAGAGCCCTGGGGCATCCCACTACACACTTCCCTCCATGTAGATGCAGTTCCATTGAGGACCACATGCTTGAATACGGCCGGTCAGCCAGCTACGAATCCATCTGGTGGTGATGTTGTCTAACCCACATTTTTCTATCTTATCAAGTAGGTTGTGGTCTACTTTATCAAATGCTTTACTGAAGTCCAAGTAAATTATATCCACAGCATTCCTCTGGCCCATTATAAGGATAAGACAATTGTGTCTTATCCTTATATTCCCACCATGGAATTGGTTACGTTCTAATATTTGATCTCCCACAATCAATGACAAAGATTAGTAGTAGAAGTTCTCCCTTTTATTGTGAGCTGAGAGTCATTTATCAGAAGAGGAGTCCTTTGCATCTGGAATCCTTTCCGTACCGGAGATGACTGCATCTGGATATCTTTTGTGTGGTGCAACGCTTGTATTTGCACCATGACATTGTCACCAAGAAGGATGATCTGATATCAAGCACATCCATAACAGGGGCTGGGGGATAAGATACCCTGTAGCTAAAGGTACAGTACAAAAAAGAAACCCACATATATGAAAGAAACAAACATATATCAAAGTATTTGCCCATCAAAAAAAAGGGTTCCTCAGATTTATTCTTCTTGCAAAGATCAAAGAATCCTTGTTTATTTCGACAAAGCAGCTGAATCAATTTTTTGGAGTTGCCTGTGTCTGAGAATTGTTATTTTCGACTTCTTTGGAGTTCTTTTTCCTTTTCTGGATAAGGGTCCTATTAAAAATAAAAGGAACAAATAAGTTATAATGACCACAGCCAATTTCTGAAACTTTAAAAACTAAACCAAAAGTTAATGACCGCTTAACTTTTTTGTAGTTGGATGTACTCATTTCAATAGGAATAATACTAAATTAAACCTGTATACCACCTGACTTCCAATGACTCTGGGTAGCTTGTTTATAGCTAAAAACCCAAAGTCAGTGGGAGCAAACTACTTTGTATTCAGGTGGCTTGAAACTAATTTTCAAAAGGAATAATGGATCCTTGGAAATAGAGGTTGTCCTTTTTTTTAGCGACCACAATTGGGACAGGCAATTTGATCATTAAGCAAGATGTTTACTAAATGAAATCATGACTGCTTATGATCTTATTTCCATTTTCCTTCACTTTACAGACCTGCAAAGGTTATAAATGCAAGGATTGGTTGCGAAATTACTTTTTCATCAACTTTGTAACTCTGAACAGTCGCTAAATGAGGCAGTCACTAAATAAAGACCACCTGTACTACCTTGATTCAAAACTTTGAAAAATCACAGCCAGAAACAAACAAAAAGGCTATTCCCTGTATTTAATACAGCATAATTTAATTGTATTGTTTTTAATGCCACGTATAACACAGCAGCTTGCCAGTGAAATATTAATACAAAGTAGAATAAACAGAACAAAGATACTGTGTTTATATGCTAATAAAGAAGGGAATGGCATGAAAAGCCTATTAAGAGCTACTTTTTAAAAAGCCAACTCAAAGAGTGAAAGATTTATATAAAAACAGTTGCATCTATTGCTATGTTAATAAGATTTCTGACACACAGAAGTAGTATACTGTCTAAAGCTATTTGAGATGGTTCTGCTGAAGTTACACAGTCCTGTTTAAGCAGGGGGTTGGACTATAAGACCTCCAAGGTCCCTTTCAACTCTGCTATTCTGTTAAGGATCCACTGGGACATGATTCATTCCTTTTTTAAAAAGAGTTTATTATTTATAAAACAGTTAAAGATGGACATAACGTAACATTCCAGTGAATATATTCCTAACAATTTGTTCCTCATCATACATATAATTCTTAATCTCTATATGTACATATTTTTCTATACAATACAGTCTCTAATTTGTTTCTCTATATACTAGCATAGTTTTGTATATCTCTATCTTAACACTAACTTAAAATCCGAACAGTTTCTCCTTGATTCACATCAATAATAGAATTTGTCCCAGATTTCAAAGTAATTTGACTCTGTCTTGTCCTTTATTTCCATTGTGAGCCTATCCATATCAGCACACGATAGGATTTTATATAAAATCTCTTCTTCTATTGGAATTTCTTTATTCCTACAGTTTTGTGCATACGCCAATCTAGCAGCCGTGAGAATATGTACCATCAAGTAAAGTATCCCTTTATCGTGCTTCTGCGTAGTTATGCCTAGTAGGAAAAGTTCTGGTTTTAGCTCTACCTCTATTATTAGTATTTCTTCCAGCCATTTTTTAACCTTGTTCCAAAAGTCACGGGCTTTTGAGCACTCCCACCACATGTGGTAATATGTCCCTCTTGCCATTTTACGGAAATGATTCATTCCTTAATGGGAAATTTGCAAAATGGCAAATTGAAGGCACCCTACTCTTAGGTCTTTCTAGGAACGGTCTTAAAAATCCCTGGTGTTATTTCATTGGCTCCTATATTTGCATCTATATGCAACACTTTTCAAAAAAATCTTTTGGGCACAGGAGCGTGTACTTACTCGTTTTTTTTGGCTTTCTTTTGTAAGAACTTAGGAGATGTAAGGATGTGTGCCCTTTCCAAGGGCTTCTTTATAAATTTTTTCTTTTGCTTGCTGAATATGGCATTCAGGGCGGAGGAAAAAGAAAGGAAAAAATAAAATAGAAAAAGTTCATTAGCAAAGTTTACAGTTCAGTTTCCTTCCTTGCTCCCTTTCCTTTTCCTGTTCCTTATTGTGAACCTGAGCTGGCAAACTATCAAATCCACCAGAGAGCTAATCTGAACAGAACTACTCATTCTGGTCTGGGCAGTCAGTGCAAACCATAATTTGGTTATAGGAATACCCGAACCCCTCCCCCACACCCAAAAAAGGGGAGGGAAGGGTGAAGGAGGAAGAGTGAAAGCATATGGCATGTTTCAGCCACCTTGAACTAGACACAAGTGGGAAAATTCAGTTGCAAGAACACAAAATGTATATGACTGGCACATATTGCACCAAATTGTAAGCAGCCTCTCCATCTCACTCATTCAATTTCTAAAAGAAGGCAGAGGGTAGGGGTGGGAGGAACCCTGGAAACTAAAAAGAGAAATATAATATTTATTTAATCCGGGAAAGGAAATTGGGGAGAATTCAAAATAAAATAACTAAATAAAAGACACCTTGAGCTGGAACCATATTTATAATTTTGAGGACATGTAGTAAGTACCCTAAAAAAAAAAGGCCTGCCTTAGAAGATTTGCTTAATATGGTATGACGGATGGACGGATTGATTGATTTATATAGCTGCCCATCTCACAAGAAGTTATTCTGGGCTACAAAGTTATAAAATAATAAAACATATAAGAACAATCATTATTTAAAAAGTTTTAAAAGCATATGGCACATCGGAGAATAAGTTGGTAAGAAAGCAACCTCACTGGTTAGTCACATTTACCAGAATTAGCCTCCACCAGGCCCAGCATGACTCTACCATCCCAAACGTTTAGCGTAGGGCTCATTCCTGACAACTATATGTAGTCCTCGACTTACAACCCTTCATTTAGTGACCGTTCGAAGTTAAAACGGCACTGAAAAAAGGGACTTAAGTGTGACCATTTTTCACACTTAGGATCACTGCAGCATCCCCGTGGTCACATGATCAAAATTTGGATGCTTGGAAACTAAGATAGATAACCTTTATTGTTATTTTTTTTACTGTGGGCACATTGGCACACATTACAAATGAAATTTAGTTGCTGGCTCTCAAAGTGTACACATACCTAACACACATTTAAACATGCTGTACACAACTGGCTCATATTTATGAGGGTTGCAATGTTCCGGAATCCTGTGAGTACTTTTTGGAACTTTCTGACAAGCCAAGTCAATGGAGAAGCCTGATTCACATAACGACCGTGGGATTCCCTTTACAATTGCAGTGATTCACTTAACAGCCATGGCAAGAAAGGTCATAAAATGGGGCAAAACTCCTTTAACAAATGTCTCGCTTATCAACATGAATTTTGGGCTCAACTGTGGTCGTAAATCGAGGACTGGCTGTAAAAAGTGATGCTCCTGGAGCTTGTTTTGTACACTTCCTATTTAGTTTGTTTTATTTTAAAAAAATCATTAAAAAGATCATAAGGAATGGGGAATCTGGAAGACATTAAGCAGGGTTTCTGAGGGCTCTGATCGGTGCCTTAGACCTGGCTCTTATTATGCAGTTGGGATGCAGCTGTAGGCTTTTGTCCCCATCATTTTTTGGACTATACCCCTGGGAATCCCCCATAGGGGGATTTTATAACCCTCTGACAAGCATAGGGGATTCCCAGCAAAGAATTAACACAGCAAAGAATTATCTCTGAAATAAACATGTAAAGAGGCAATCAGGCCATTTTTTTCTTAACACTGGCAGGTCTCCCTGCCTGCTTGTTATCGAGAGTCAAAAGTGGCACGCCCAGAGCACCAGTTTGATCTTAACTTCAGCAGTGGTCAGGATGTGATTTCAAGCAATTAGAAACACCCAGAACACGATATTCTTCCTGTCTTAGTTTTTCCATTCACCTTGACCCCAAACAGCATACCTCTGCAGTTTGCGGAAGTGTTTTATGTAATCCGGCACAGGACAACCACCTCTCTGAATAACGGAGGCTATGCTGAAAGAAAACAAGGGATGAAAGGCAGGAGGTAAAAAGGAGTGAGAACAAAGCTAAAGCTGACCGTTCCTAGCTTATTTTCTCAAGTTTCAGGATCAAACGCTCATCTGCGCCCCTGCCAATGCAGAGGTTAGGGATGGGCAATCTGGGCCCAAACTGTCTTAATAGCTTCTCAAGTACGATATCCCATTCCAAAAATCACTCCTCTGTGGACATGCTAGAAGCCAGGTGACTAAGAGCTCTAGTCTCGCCTAGGCATGAAGGCCAATTAGGTGACCTTGGGCCAATCACCAGGGGACTGTGAGTTCTAGCCCAGTCTTAGGCATGAAAGCTGCCCGGGTGATTTTGGGCCTATTACCAGGAGACTGGGAGTTCTAGTCTGGCATTAGGCATGAAAGCTGCCCGAGTGATTTTGGGCCTATCACCAGGAGACTGGGAGTTGTAGTCTGGTCTTAGGCATGAAAGCTGACTGGGGATTTGGGGCCTATCACCAGGAGACTGGAAGTTCTAGTCTGGTCTTAGGCATGAAAGCTCACTGGGTATTTTGGGCCAATCACCAGGAGACTGGGAGTTCTAGCCTGGCCTTAGGCATGAAAGCTGCCC